CTGGGCTGGAGTCCGCTGGAGGCAGAGGGCAAGTGTGTGTGCGTGTGCTGGGTGGGGCAGCGCGGACGGACGGGCGGATGGACGGATGGACGGACGGACGGGCAGGCGGATGGACGGACGGGCCACATTCCCCCCACCAGGGTTTATGCTGGGACAGCAGGGTCCCGGGCTGCAGCCTTCGGGGACAGGCACCCCGTGGGGAGCATGCAGTCCAGCTCTGGACAGGGGGAGCCTGCTCCCCACCCCACCCCTAACTCCTCACCTGTCCCTCTTTTTCTTCTTCTTTTAATATATTTTTATTGATTTCAGAGGAAGGGAGAGGGAGAGAGAAACATCCATGCTGAGAGAGAAGCATGGACCGGCTGCCTCCTGCACGCCCCCCACTAGGGATGGAGCCCCCAAAAGGCCCCGTTTAACCTAATGGTTCATGAAAGACAGTCACACTCTGAGGTCCTGTGTGGGGAAAGTCAGGGGGCACAGGGGAGGCACCCCAGCTCTGAGCCCGGCACAGGCGACGTCTGGGAGTTATGGGGGGCCCTCCAGGGTGTCTCCCTGGGTGGGAGCCGGTGGCGTAAGGGCAGGGGCGGGGGTGCCCCTGGTCCCAGGCCGGGGAGGGTCACCCGGGCCCGCTGCCCGTCCTCAGGGGCTGCAGGTGGCCCAGAAGGAGGCCCAGATCCGGCTGCTGGAGGGGCGGCTGAGGCAGACCGACCTCGCGGGCTCCTCCCAGAACCACCTGCTCCTGGACGCCCTGCGGGAGAAGGCGGAGGCGCACCCCGAGCTGCAGGCCCTCATCTACAACGTGCAGCAAGGTATGCGGGGGACGGGGGGATGGCGGGGGGGTGGCCCGGGCCCCAGGGCTCCGACCCGGGGACCCTGGCTTCCCCAGAACTCTGCCCAAACCCATCTGACCCCCCGTCTCCGTCACTGCCCCCCCCAAAGAGAACGGCTACGCCAGCACCGATGAGGAGGTGTCGGAGTTCTCCGAGGGCAGGTGAGTTCTGGAGGGGGGTCCCCGAGCGTCGGGGCGCACACAGGCTCTCGGGGTCCTGAACTCCCCCTGCTTCTCCCGTAGCTTCTCCCAGTCATTCACCATGAAAGGTTCCAGCAGCCACGACGACTTCAAGTTCAAGGTGAGCCCCCTCCTCCCTCACCCCAAGCCCGGCCCGTGTTGCTTCCGGGGGGACGGGTCTAGCCTAGGACTGGAGGGTCGGGCACCCGGGGTGCAGGTGTGTAACCCGGGGCAGCCTGCTCTTTTTGAAGTGGGGGGGAGGGGGGGAGAAATGGGAGGAGTGGCCTGAGCCTGGTGACGTCACCATAACCAAGGGCCCCGCTTTCAAAACCTCCCTCTTACCCGCCCCACCCCCGGTCACCCCGGGAACCCCGGCAGGCGCTTCCCTTCCAGGGCGAGCCCAAGCTGTCGGCCCAGATAAAGGCGGCGTCGGCCGAATGCCTGGGGCCCCCGCTGGACAGCTCCACCAAGAACATCACCAAGTCCCTGGCCTCGCTGGTGGAGATCACGGAGGACACGGCGGGCT